TTCATTACCCATTTAAGCCGTCTCCAGCCATTATAAATGAAACTTATAATGCACCCACTGCTCAAAAGTGCAGGTTGCAAACTTGTGGCAAAGAAACATGAATCATAGACCCTGAGATCCACTAGGACATATCTAACCCTTAAGAAGTCTGAATTAATACAGTTTTATAAGATGAGGAAACTAATCTTCATTTAGTAAATGAATAAAAATTAGTAACTTCTTATCTGTGGAAAATGACCAAATAAAAAAAGGCAATTTTGGTAGGTGTTTTTATCAAACAGATCAGTATTAAGATCTATTATTTTGTAAAATCAACTAAAAAAAATACTTAGTAAATGAATAAAAATTAGTAACTTCTTATCTGTGGAGAATGACCAAATAAAAAAAGGCAATTTTGGTAGGTGTTTTTATCAAACAGATCAGTATTAAGATCTATTATTTTGTAAAATCAACTAAAAAAAATACCTGAAAGACTTGTTTTTGACAAGCAAAGATAAATAATGATTTTATATACTCTCCTTGGTGATAAAATTTTAGAAAAATAATTTTAAAGTTCCTTATAATAGTGTACATAAAGAAGTTAATTAGATTATCATACTTAAAATTTAAAAAGACAATTCTTTTAAAATATCTATTTATCAATAAACTTACTGAAATAGAATAGTAAGTCAGGTTACAAACATTTTAGTTAACAGAAGTGCAATAAATATCATCCTTATAGAATTAATCTAGCAAAAAAAGAAAAAATACAACTTAGTACATATGTAGTAATGTTTTTAGCACATATTTAAAACACCAATTCAGAAAATCGTAGCCCATAAGGCCTAGACTTTACCTTCTAGAGTTAATGAAATTTATTGTGAAATTTAAAGTACTCTTCAGCAATAAAATTTGCATTGCAAGCCTATCTTTATCACATACTACTTGTAATTACATGTCAATATTATTAAAAAAAACAGAAAACTGGAGTTTTTCAGTTTATTTATCATTCAAACCATTTTTCTTAAAGGCACAAAATTTGCTTAAATTGTATAGATTTTAAATGAAACATTATTTACATATATAAGAACAACAGATAGCAATTTGAAAAAGTAAGTTAGATATTTTCATAAGAAGCTATGTTACACGAAAGTAAACCACACTTCTAAACATATGTTGGATGCAAACAAAACCTTACATTGCATTATATAAAAACTTGGAACAACAAAATATATCCTTCAACTTCATGTACATCTTTATACATTTTATAACATCCCAAAAGTAGAATAGAATATACAGTGGAATTCTAATTATAGCCAGGCACTGTTGCTGTTAACATGTTAACTTTAGTTGAAAACTTTAAGTGAATCATAACAAATGTCATATTATTTCATTATTTTATTAACAACAAACAGCTATAAATAACTAGACTAGTAACAATGAATGTGGCTTTCTTTACTGTCACCTTGTTTAGCTATTTTATGGGATCATAAAAAAAAACACTATTTCTGCCTTTAATACAAAAGATATATGGAGTTATTTGCAAGGTGTGGTTGAAAACTGGTTCATTTGTTTTGAGATCAGGCATATTAACAACTGTACACATGATATTTTTTTTTTTTTTACAAAATACACATCAAATGAATGCATAAAAAAAAGATAAACAAGTATTTGTGATGCTAACTGACAGAAATATAAAGCAGCATCTAGTAACATAAAAAAATGGTAATATATTAAGTGAAAAATTGAATAACTGAAAATAGTTTGGGACCAGGACATGCATCCAGGACCTCTGGCTAACAGGGACAATACTCTTCATTGAGCTATCCAAGTCAATTTTCAATTATTAGCTTTTTCACTTAAAACTTAATTTTAAATATTGTCTTTTCATTGTTTCCCAATGACATTTAAAAATAAATGGAAGTCTGGGATACTTTTTTTTTTTATTTGGTCTTTAAACCTATCATAATGTAGCATGGTGATCGTTCTTGTAGTGAAAATCCTTACAAGTGAAAATTAACAGCAATAGCTTTTAGTCTGAAACAGCTCAGTGTTGAACACTGGTTCCATTAGCCAGTGGTTCCAAGTTCAAATCCTGGTCCCTGAGTCTATTTCACTTAAAATTTAATATAAAACAAATTCTCCAAATAAAGCCAGAAAAATAACCTCTCAAATCTAGTACTTACATTCATATTATACATAAACAATAATCAATGATTTATTAAAATGCCAAAAGAGAGCTATTCTTGGAAATTATATTAAATCAACATTATGGGTGAGGAACTGAGCTTTTCCTCTATTTGATTTCAGATTTTTTTTGTATTTTCACAATATACGTGTTCCAATACACAACCAAGTACCTTTGAGGAAGGTTGTGTAAACAAAATCTAAATGTTAAACTAGCCAATGCCTATAATTAATTCTAATAATTGTAAGAAGACATTTAGATGTGGTTGGTTATCATGACACATTTATTCAGGTGACACTTCCCAGAAATATAAATTTTAAAGTAATTATGCGATACTAAAGAAACATTCTTTTGTGTTAAAAGATAATTATCAACTGATTTCAGCTACTCTAAACACTGATTCAAATGCAAAATAAACAAACCAGCTGAAGCTTTGACAAGCTTAATTCTCCAAGAAAAGAAAACACACAAGAAAATAGTGGAAATATAGTTAAGAACAAAAAAAGTTATTTCAGAGAGATGCAATTTTAATCCACATATTAGTAAATATAGATACATCACCAATGCTAGTTAATAGTCTCAGGTAATGATTTTTGTTGAGGTCTTAAAAAAGCTAGCATACTTTTAATGACAAATACTGTAAATGAGCATTAGATTAACTTATAGCAAATGTTATTTTAATACCTTATTAAATCAACAACTCCATTTATTATAATAGTCACAAAAGTTCTTACTTATTAAGAACAGTTAACATTAAATTGTTTTATTACTTAAGTTAGAAACCTGAAAATATCCCAAATATAAGTGATTAAAAAATGGAAGACTTTCAACTAAACGCACCACAATTAACATAATAGTTTTATCATACTAGTTTCACATGATACAATTAGTATTCCCTTCTGACCATAATATCACTTAACAATCAAGTGATTTCAATGGATATTTACTAATGTTGACATATATACTTAAATTTTGTTATAATGCATACTGAAAAATTGATTACGTTAAAGAAAAAAATTTTTTCATCTGATTAAAAATAAATCTTAAATATATAATGTGTGAGCAAACCTAGGAAAATGCAATATTTTATGTGCAACACACAAAAAACATCATATTTTCATTATCTTCTTGCTTTGATAAAACATGGAACTGTACATAACTCATATGCCATGTTTTTCCTGAACAATAAGACATCTATATAGTAAAACTGTGTAATTTGCTAATTTCTTATTTTAGATCAAACATATTCCATATTAAACCCACAAGATTCTGAAAAACTAGTCTATGAATGCTTTTATCGCAAACTATCAATTTCAACATTTCTCGGCATACCAGTTCAAACTGTCTTTGCAAAGACAGAAATGCCCTGTAAAATGTTATTATGACTTGTTAATTTTATTGATATTGATGCTGATGGTGGATATTATAACTTATATCCAAATTTATTCACATTCTGCCATCTGATCAAATACACAAAACAGTAGTAAAATAAACTAATCAGTTGAATTACCCCCCTCACCCTTCCTTTTTACAAAGATGGAATTACCGTTCATATATGACCATACTACTAACACTGGGCCTTGCAAGAGAGAGAACTATGTGATATTGCAAAAATAAACAGTACTGATAAAAATAGTATAAAAATGGATCATAAGATGATCATATCTGAAGCCTAGACTAGCTACTTCACCCACAATGATATAAAACTTAATATTATAATATAAACATTTAATCTCAAATATTTTTTTGCTAAGGCTGTACTGAACACAGTAATGTAGAACAGCCAAATATATTTGCACATAAATAATGTACGACTTGCTAAACAGTATGGAACTTTCATGAAAATGTGTATGTTATACTTTGTTAATTTGTTTAGAACTTTAAAATAAACATTTCTGCTACATGCAGATGAAATTATTTACAAACAACACAAAAAAAGAGAAAAATCTTGGACAAAGTTTTAGTTATATAAATATTTGTGCAATAAAGTTAAACTTGTACAACACAGGAAACTTCACAAATCTTAAGTCAATACTAATTTTATATATATATATATTCATTTATTTATAATTTTCTCTAGTAAACTCCAAATTAATCTATGTTTTACATTTGCATCTAATTTAACACAATAAATTAGAATCATTCATACAAGGCACAAACTGTATTTTCTTTTCAATATACATTAAAACATTTTCAATTTCCTATCTGACCTGACTTTACACTACAAACTTCAATCATTGGGACATTTTCAGCTATGTTGTCTTGGTCAATTACATTATTATCATCATTTTCCAGTAGCTGGTAAGTGTCACTATTATCACTTCCATCAACTTGTCTTCGAACAATTTGCAAAGCATTTGCCTGTTTTTTCTTTTCATCTTTATAACAACACATGTACTCAAAAGTTTCATAGATTGCCATGAAGAAAGCAAAAAAGCCTACAAGTGTAATTATCTGAAAAAAAAAAAAATAAGTTTTTTCACAACATAATGAAACAATTTACAAACATTATGTCTTAAAACAGAAGTGCATTTAAAATTTATAAAGACAAATCAAATTAATATTTAAAATTTTAATCTGGGTAATATTGCTTTTTAAACAAACTGAAAATTCTAAAAAAAAATTACACATTAATATTAAGTTCTCTTATAATTTTGAGATATTTACTTCTATGAAAGTATTTTAATATATTCAGATTTGCTAAACATTAAAATTATGAAAGACATCTTAGGTATAAATTTATTCTGTTTAGTATTTGCAGAGAGAGCCTAATAGCATTGAAGATGTAGCAGCTGAAAATGCAAGATCTTTCTTTGGAATGGGTTTAAATAAAATCAAGCGTCATAACATAAAAACTAATCCACTACAATTTTATGCCTGATACTTAACCATATTAAAGTTATAACCTTTTGATAATGATTGAGGAATAATTAGTCTCATACAGTAAAAAGAAGAAACACAAAATCATAATAATTTTTTCTGACAAAAATGTATTTAAGTGTTAACCCGGATTGTACCTATAAAAACAAAATATGTACCAACAGACAGAGTCTGAAAAACATAGCTTAAAAACAAACTGAAATAAAAAAGTGTAAGCAAACATTTTGTAAGCAAACACAGTGTTTGTCCATGATTTTCTGCTCAAATGTAAACTTCCCAAAATATATATAAATTAAAACCTACTTTTAAGGTTCTATCTGTTAAAGGTTGCATGATATCTAATGATGGGGATGGAGGTGGACATGGGAAAGAAATATTCTCATCAAGGTATTTTCCACTATATGCCTCTTCTACAAACCTGTCAAATAGAAAAATTTAGTTAAAAGAAGGTTTATTCATAAAAATCACCTAATACAACCTCTCTCTCTCTCTTGATTCAGAATTCAAAGAATTAGCAAATATATGATGTAAACAGCAAATGACAGGGAATCATTGATAGTGTTACATTTTAAGCTAATAATTTTAATTTTGGAATATCTTGCTCAAAATAATGTTTATTAGAATCTTAGAATGTATACTCATAATTGCTATTTTTGAAATTACAGTCATTCACTCATAATATCATTTAGCTAAAGAGTTTGTGAATTCTCTTTGATGTTTAAATTGAATTGAATCTGTTCCAACATCACCTACAGTACATGACATTATCATATCCTGTAATGTTATATGCATTTAATCCAAATGGTATTATTGTACAACCAATCCTGTCCACTGTTGTAACATTTAATCACTTATTTATGGATATAATAATAATAATAATTAATGATATGAACTTCTATATGTTTAATGATGAATATTATTTCAGTTTACGTTATATCTCCTATTAAACTTTGTGATATGGCTTTGAATGAACCTGGTGTCTTTTTAAAGAACCATCGGAACTGCTTGTTAAATTTTGTACGAAGCTACTCAAAAGCTACCTACACTAGCCATCCCTAATTTAGAAGTGATAGACTAGAGATAAAACATCCAGTCAATACCACTTACCTCCAACTATTATGTTACTCTAAGTGTATAGTGGTACTGACTGCCATCTCATAGTGCACCCACAGCTGAAAGAGTGAGCATGTTCAGTGATGGGATTTGAACCCGAGGGTTACATTTTTGAAATAAGTGTCCTAACCACCAGGCCATGCCAGCTGTACTGGAACTATTATTACTATACAAATATACTTGTACGAAGTGTAAAGTGAGGTATTAAAATTATGTATATGACTAGCTAAAATATCAGGAAAAATTTTGAGCTGGACCAGCCACCAATTTTCAGAAGGATGTACTTTTCATTTGAAACACAAATTACTATGAATATATTGTTTAATTCTCAAAATAAGCATGGGAATAAGGAAAACAATGTTTAGTTATTCATTCTGCACTAAATTTACTTGTGGATGGCTTGAAATAATTAATAGATTTGTTGATGCATTGGCTGTGTAATTTATTTAAATTCAAAGATGATAGATAACACACATAAAAACAAACCACTTGACTGGTTGAAGTCACAAGAAATCCACCAGAGGCAAAAATTAAAATGCAGAAACAAAAAGAAAAACAAGTATGGCAATGTTTGATAAGTCATCAATTGCTATTACAAGAAATCTCTTACATTTAAGAGCTGTAAAAAAATAATTACTTCTTTTTTTGACATATTTCTGACCAACAATTTTTTTTAATATTTACTTCTCTCAGGAATGAACTTTTGGCCATAGAAAATGAGTAAATCTGAGATCCTAAGGAAAATCTTTGTGTATACTCTATGTGAGGTTTATCAATTAGGTTCTAGGTGTGAATAGAAAAACTTATGAAAATTTATTGTAAAAGTTCTCAGCTGTAAGGAAATATTGTATTTATTCTGAACAATAAAAAAAAATACTTTTCCAAAACTAAATGTTCACCCTGCTGGTGACAGAAAAGATGTCCATGGTATAAACAGTATGTGCTACTTTATTCTAATATACACATTTAAAGGTACCTTTTCTTATCCTGGAATTGTTCTGAGGTCATTGGTGTCCCATGAAGAACTAATCTCCAACTCTTAAAAGTTCCAAGTTCTGATGAGCCTTTAAAGATGGTAGAATAACAACATTTGAACAAAGGCCTATAAATATGTATTATATATAAATATATGTATTTATAAATTTGTATTTTGAAAAATTAAGAATCCAATATATTATGAAATACAGAAATACAAAAATAAAATAAAAAATATATATGAAACACTTTTACTTGAAAACTGTGATACAACTCATGGAAATGATAAGTGTTCTTTATCTTTTGTTTGAAAGGAAAGCAGATTTTTAGGCAGATATGTTCAATAAGTTGTAAATTTCTTCTGTATGGTTTGTAAGTAGCGTGTGTGAGTTCTTAGCCACGACATAACAGCTCATAGAATGGCTCCGAGTTTTTCATGTACAAACTTTTAGCTCATAGTTCCATCATCTCTTGACCAATTTGAGATATAATTACAGTTTTGAAACCAGGAGGTCAAACCCTTTCGACTGATGTATTTGACCATGTCCAAGGTCTCATAGATTAATTTACTCTAATCCTGCCTAAAAGAATTTCAAGTGCCACAGCTACTGATAATTCCCTCTTGTTTTACAGAAATTAATGTTGAGAATTTCATAGCATTCCTTTCTAAAAATTTAAATTTTAAAACAAATAAAAATATGTCTATAAACTTTTTCAACTATAAAACTATATTCTTAATTAAAAAATTCAAAGTACAGTTAATACAAATACAGACTTAGCTTACCTAATGCATATTTCACTTATTAAAGAAACAAAAAGGGAATATTAGCAAAAATAAATAATTCATGCCTTACAAATGTCTTAGCTAGGTTGAGCAGCTCTTTTAAACACAATTCTCACATGTATATCTATTAATTAGAATAGGTTAAAAATAGATGAACAGGTTTGCAGGTCTAAAAAAAGATGTTTTTGTCTCTTCTGTTCTCGAAAGTTCGACTGAAATTGGCAGCTCTGATTCTTAGAGCTTTTCTCTAAAAGACCTTGAAATTATTTTCTATGATTTAAAAAAAATATTTTATGTTGTATTTCCATCTCATATTACTCTTATCTCTATTACTTTAACAAATACAACTAGAACAAATATAAAGAAAATTTCTTCGAGTAAACTCATACTTGCAACTTTGCTGAAATAGGTAAACCTCACTGAAGTTTAGAGGAGGGAGATATCTTTTTTTTTTTGCCCAGCAGCAAGTTATGACATTATCAAGATATAATCAAGATGAAAAGCAGATGTAAAGCATTAAAAGTGTGTCAAATTATCAATTACTTTTGTTTTTTACAAGATCTTTTGTCTAACAACACTACTGCAGTGCAGTGTAAACTTAAAGCTAAAAGCAGTGTAACATGGATAAATATATCTCTCTTCTCATGAATAAAATCAACTCTGTAACTGACGGCTGTAATAAAAATCAAAACTGGGTAGTGAATTCCAAGTATGTAATATATTTTGTGCAAACATGGAGAACACATTTTTACCAGATGAAGAGTCCAAAAGAATCAAAGACCAAGTTCCATAGGGTTCTTCTCCCCAAAATTTTACAGAAGTAAAACTCCAGTTGTTCAAGCCCTCTGTAGAACTATAAACAAAATATTATATAAAGGTTATGTATGGTAAAACCTGATTTTTTGTTTCTTCCACAGATTGTATATTTTTTGTCTTGCATTATACTACATCTACACATCAATATTCCAAACAAATAAATTAATAACTAATATATTCTAAATTTGTATCATAACAATCACTACTTCTTATACAATGGCACACTGCATGAATACACATGAATACGACTTAGTAAATATTTAACAACCTGAAAACATGGATACAAAATCAAGCAATTTTTTTTTAAAGATTTAGAAAAAAGTTAATTGCAAATTATTATTATTATCATCAATATTAAAATTTTCAATGACTGTTCAAAAGTATGCAAGGCCAAGAATTATATCAGACTAGAAGTATTGTAATCACAACAAGACCTACCTCAAAATTCAAATGCAAAGGACAACAAAAAAAAGGAGTTTGATTAAACTATAAAGCACAGAGTACTAATTCAAGATTCAACATGCAATTGGAAAAGTTCACACATGCATAACGCACACATATTTTGAAACATGTGTGAATTAACTTTTATCCATTGAGTGATAATTTCTTTTGAGCAAATTGGACAGGAAGCTCTTACAATGCTAAATGTATCAAAATCAAAATTTAAGAAACAAATCAAGAAATATTAAATACTACAGCATAAAGTTTACAATAAACTTTCTCTCTCACACACTCCTAAAACAACATACTGTGATGCGGTGTTTCATAACAGGGTATAGCTAAGCACATGACACTGACCTTCAGCCTAATTTGCTACAGCTGTCCTAACCCTATAATTAATCATAAGATGCCCTGTGTGATGTAGTCATACACTAATACCTACATGTAAGCAAATTATGAACCATATGAAGTTGTGCTTTTAGTTTTATAAGCTATGTACCATTATGAGCTCACGTATATTAATCATTTACAACGTAAACCTTAAATTTTGCTTTTAAACCTAGCTATTACTTACGTCTAATACTATATCGTATATTTTCTATCATGACAAGTACAATAAAACAAACTTTGCATCAAAATTATTTTATGTATCTATACTTTAAAAATTTGGAATGTAAGAGTATTCTTTTGAAATAGATTAGCATATTAAATTACACTTGCTTTGAGGCCCATGAAATTGATATTTTAATATTGAATTATAATACTATAGGAAGAGTTAGCAATGTTTTCAGCAATACAGAACTAGGGATGTTTTCATATATAATTTTGATCATTTTGCTTTAATGTTGCAAAAACATCAATCCTTTTTTTTCATTTAGAAACCATTTTCAATGGAAACTGTCAAGTAAATAGTACATACTTTTTAATTTGATAAATGATGATCATCTAGAATCAAAATTATTAAACAATAAGACAAAACTCTACCATAACTCAAGTTAAGAAAAACAAGTATAAAGTGCTCTCTTAAAATAATGTTTTCAGGAAAAAAAAAGATTTTGAACTACATATGGCACTGTCACTTATATTCAGGTAAGTGTTCACTACCCTCATACCAATTTTGTCAATGTGGAGTCAAAAAACATACAATAAATTAACAGATTCTACACTGATAATGAAAAACTATCATAACCTATGTATCAATAAAGGAATGCACATCATTATCTTGTTCTTGAGACATAGTATACAATTATATCCTGTATTTATTTCTAATATTGAGTAGTATAGAACTGGAATTACTTGTCTTTAGGTCTAACATGTGTCAAAGTAGATGCTGTTCCTGCAGGACTTTGCAACATAATGACTAGATGCCCTCTATATGGATGGGAAAGTGTTATTTTGACTTGAACATACTCCACAATAAATAACCCGTACGAATCTGCATCTTCTTTAGACACTACATAAAACACAAAAGTTAAATCATACGTTTTGCACCAAGTCAAAAGTTTTGATAAATAAAGTTCTTGTATATACATCACATTCTCATACATTTCTTCACATGTCTGATTTCAAGTATGCATACTATGTACCACATTTTCTCCCTTATAAATAAAGGTTGGAATCTAGATTTTTAAATTGGGACATTTGAAAAATAATGAAAATTAAATATCAACTCAATACAGAAAATACTGTTTTTAGACGACTATGATGAGTGATTAAGATAAACTTCATATCAATGAATTAGCTGCATATAACACTATGAAGTAAAATAATGATGATATAAGAAAGATCTATTACTTTTAGCAGGCATAGATGACGAAATATATATATATATATATATATGCAAACTAACAGGCAACATTTGTTTGTTAAGCACAAAGCTATGAAATTGGCTATCTGTGCTGTGTCCACCATAGATACTGAAACACTTTTTAGTGTTACAAGCCTTAAGGTGTTCCACCGAGCCATTGAAGGGCAGCATACAATGTTATATATACATCTAAATAAAACTACAAAGAAATGGTGGCATAAAAAAAGCTGCTTCTATTAATTCTAGCAAGCATAGATGACTAAATGTATATGTAAATCAACACACATTGTATAATTTATGTAAAAGAACTGTAAAACATCAGACTTCCAAAACTTGGAGAAACAAATGTAGATGTACAGGAGAGGTTTAGTACTTGTTTTGGAGCTTTAGAGTCTGCTGAAAAGTGACTAATTAGTCACTTACAATCAGAAGATTTACCTTTGACTTATAATCCATTTCAACCGGAATATGAAAAGCCTTCTGCTTTATAAAAATTAAACATATAACAGAAAAAAATGCATTGGCTACCTTAGACATTTGCACTATGTCATCTGTCTGAGCTCAGAAGCCAAATTATTAAATAATGAAAGCTACAGTTTTGCATATTTATTTCGCAGCAATCTGAGGATGTGTTTTTCATATAACAAAATTTCCCCTAATATACTGTTTTTTGTGTGTTTTTTTGCAAAAACCTAAATGCTTAAGTACAATTCTACATTCTGTGGTAACAGACTAACTTATCCATAATGTTTAAATAGGTCAAATATCAAATATACTTCTAATAAGCTGAAACTCTGCATTCTTTATACTTAATCCTCAGTCATCCCAGACCAGTTATATATTAAAACACTAAGTTACAGAGATGTTTATTTTAACAACAATACTTTTGAAGGAAAGAAAAAGTACTGATTTTCTATTATGATGACATTTACTTTAGTAATAGGAATAATTTTGAAACAAACACGTCAAAATTACAATGGAGTTTAAAAAATTTTTGGTAGCAATGAAAAGTCAGCTACTCATGAGAGAGAAATAACTTTTAATGTTAAAGTCTTGCACATTTTCTATCTGAATTGTAATATGCGCACACATACACACAAATTAAAACTGTAATATGTATTTATTCATTATATTTGTGAGTACAATTTCCAAGTTGAATGGCCTTACTAGAGTATATAGAGTAAAAACATCACTAAATAACATTCACAGAACTGTATTACGAAAGACAAAAAAGTTTCATAAAAAGAAAAAACAACATGCAAATATTTCATTTAGATATATCAATCAATAGTAATGATTACAATAACAGTACATATTGAGAAGGATAAAAACTAACCAGAAATATTGACTACCAGTTCATCAGGAAAAGATGGTATTTGTTTCTCAAATTCTTCTTGAGGGCTTGTGTATGTGGTTAGCCATGGAACTGATTGCCAGGCCTTGGAGGAAGTAATTAGATTGAAAAAGATGAGTGAAATATCTTGTTTGTATCTCTCTTTATAATAATTTACTCAAATTCATTTTTTTATCTCATGCCTGTGTTATGTCTAAAAATTAAATTACAAACTTGTAAATGAGTCAATTCTATTTTCTGGTTGTTTTTAACATAACTGAAAATAAAAGAAAAATTTGCCCACTAAATATTTTAACCATACTTTGCACAAAATTTCTTTGCTTAGATTCCTACTGACTAACAACAGCTTTGTTCTTGTGTTTAAGTGCAAAGCTACACAATGGGCTAACTGTGCAGTACCACAGTATTGAACCCCAATTTTAGAATATAAACCCTCTAGTTTACCATTGAAGCATTGGGAAGCACTGACAACACTACATACAAGTTTTAGTTTGGCCATAGAATTAAAAAATGAAAGAAATGTTTAGTTTCATATGTATAAACAGCCAATCAATGTGAGTCATTAAAAAAGCAATGCCTGGTGATAGTTGTAGTTTAAAGTCAATTAGTGCAAAGTGTATAATGTAAAAGGAAAAAGTCTTATTTCATTAAGTAAACCAATTTACCTTCAATAATATAGATGTTATTCAACTTAAAATAATGCAATTAAAGGATTAAAAATGCAAACACGTTAAAGAATGAAAAATAAACCATAAAACCATAGTAAATTAGTTTCGACCACTTACTTTAGCCACACTGACTAATCTCCAGGCATTAAGAATACCAAATCCATGAAAGTTACTGTGCCACAGCCCTGCAGCATTTTTTTCCCAAAGATTCTGGTGCAGTAAGTTTACCTGAAAAAACAAACCAAAATAGGCAGAATCACTTCAGGGGTTTGAAATGATCACTTCTCAAGGTATAATTATAGACAGTGAAAATAATCTATAACACTTTCTAGAAATTGAAAGTAGCAGTGTAATTAGGTTTAATGTATCCCTTGATAGTAAAACTGTAAAGTTCATGTAATACCAATACTGCATCCCATTAACCTATGTATGAATGTCCAAAACATCACAGTAAATTGATGAAACATTAGAGTTTTGGTCAGTGTTACTTCTTTTTCATCCAAATAAGCTTTAATATTTGTCAACATTTAATACAGAATATACTGTTTTGAAAATTATATACGAAACACCTGATAAATTAAAGAAATTTGCTCTCAACATTTTTCATACCACATAGACATATAAAAGCAGTTATAGCAATGCAGAGATAAAAATTAAGTAAAATTATACTCTTCACATTGCTTTAGTAATCAAAAAATGATGTCATGTAGATGAAGATTCCTGTACAGTTGTGATATCATGTATGAAAAAGTTGAAACTTAAGACATAAAAATAGAGCCTTCAAGAGTATACTATACAGAAAGTCTCACTAATGCACATAAGGGTAAGTGGAGCTTTTATTTGATCATACAGGTTATGGTATTAAAATTCTATCGAAACAAGTACTTAACTTGATCACTCTATATCTTGTATATATTTATCTACGAGTCTTCAAGAATTACACAAGTATTTGCTGGAAATATTTATAAAATAGAATGAAGATGCAAACTAATGCAAACAACTTGAAAACAAAAATTATATTTTTAGATAATTTGACATTACAACACATGTGGCTTCTTAAAGGTTTGCAAAATAACACAGAATTCTCCAATTTTACAATCTAATGAGATCTGAAGGCTACAACACTTTTTGACTTCTCTTAGGAAACAATATAATTACACGAGCATTTATAATTCAGATCTGATTTCCTGATGTCAGCTCGAGAAGATAAACCATTTAAAAATGATAAAAAACACATACCCTAAAAAATAAAAACTTTTTAACCTCTATTTTTATTGATAATGTTTTTGTCATGTATTTTCTTTTACCTTCATTCCTGTAAGAACAAAAATGTACTGGATGTCTCTCCATGTTAGACAAGGTCTGACCTCTAGCATTAAGGCTATCATTCCTGCAGCAAGAGGAGCAGCTGCAGAAGTTCCTGTGTGATGACGAGTACAGCCACTTCCATCTACTTTTGTCCAATCAGAAGTAACCTAAAGAAAGTAAAACTTATTACCATCTAAAACTATTTACTTGTATCCAGTCAGAAATGGCCTAAAAAATAATACCTAAAACTATTTTGCCTGTCTCAAATCAGAAGACAACTAAAGAAAGTAAAACTTATAACTCTCTAAAACTATTTACTTATATCCAGTCAGAAGTTACCTAAAGAAAGCAAAACTTATTACCATCTAAAACTATTTACTTATATCCAGTCAGAAGTTACCTAAAGAAAGCAAAACTTACTACTTCTACAACTGTTTCACTTTTAAATAGCCAAAGCCACCTGAAGAATATAAAATTTACTACTGTCTACAAATATTTTACTTGTGTCCAGCCAGAAGTAACCTTACTAAAGTAAAATTTACTACTGTCTACAAATATTTTACTTGTGTCCAGCCAGAAGTAACCTTAATTAAGTAAAATTTACTACTGTCTACAATTATTTTACTTCTATCCAGTAAGAATGACCTAAAAAATGTAAAAAATACAAACTAGAACTATTTTACCTGTCTCAAATCAGAAGACACCTAAAAAAAGTAAAACTTATTGCTGTCTATATCTATTTTATCTTAATACAAAACAAAAATGAACAAATGCCAATTTTAACTGCACAATGTCTGGAATTTATCTCCGTGAATAGAAACTTTATTATAAAAGAGTGCAGAGAGCTTTCACTATTAAGTTTAGAGAAATCCATAATTTATTGCTTCAATCTATATTTTATATTATATATACAGTTGTCAATGCATAAAACAAAATAATCTGCTTCTACTTATTTTGTAACAAAAGTTATAAATAAGAACAATCTTTCAAAATTAACTCAACTCACAATGTCAAAGTTTCGCATACTACCACTACTGAATGTAACACCTAGCATTGCTGGACATTCTTCTGCATAAAATGGTAGACCACCACTTTCTGTTACAGCTCCTAATAAAACAAAAAAAAAAGGAAATGCTGTTTTAGAATTTATATATAAGTTCAGCTACTATACCTAATGAATGGAACTGACCAACAAAAAGTGCTATATTTAGCATTGGTCTGTAATATTCTAAAACATTTTATTAAAAACCCTATCAAACTACTTTATATCAATACCAAATATAAACTGTATGACCAAAACAAAATCATTATATGATGTTAGCTTTTAACCTTGAAGCTTATCTTTCTACAGAACTTATATGTATTTCTTTATTTTGTAACTAACTAAGGAATTAACCTGAATTTATTCAAAATAAACCAAAAAGAATCACAAAAATCACCATGTTTAACTCTTTTAGCCCAGGCTACCATTTTTTGGTTGTTATAGTTTTAATGCTATAACTTTTAAATTAGTAAGCGAAAGTTAACAAAATTTGGCAGATTGTCAGTAAACATTACAATGCTTTCATATGCAAAATAGCTAATTTTTTTTATTAAGGTTTGTAAAGCAATGTTTCTTTTATGCCTTTTTTTGCACATCTTGCCTATCTATCAAGTAATTTTCATTTTAAAATTAAAAATACTTTTATGCATCAGAAAAGTTTGAAATTTCACATGCTAAATCTTTATAATGTCTGTATACTTATTAAACATTTCTTAAGAAAAAACTTAATATTTTATCTGTTATTTTAAGTAATTAATCTATGTAGAGGTTCTCACAACCACCATAAAAAATTAGTAAATAAATAAAAATTATGCCCCTTTCATTCTAGAATGAACACAAATTATAACACAAAAACATAAATGTTTAAATGAAATAGCTTAAACCTCATAACATTATACATTTATATATATATATTTATTATTTTTATTATATTGCTATTTCACCCATGCTTGGCTAACAGTACAGAAACTACAATGACGCGGCTCATGTGCACTCATGTTACCGTATCAAATAACATAAAGGTGACCTCTGGTCTGTAAAGAGTAACTTGGCTATATTTTAGTCGACTAGTATTTTGCAAAATATAATTATATTTCAATTATTATAC